GACATTTGCAGTAAATCATTTATAAACAACAGCACGTGCCCTGATAAGATGTGCACATAAATATCCCTCTGTGGTCCACATCAAATCATATTCATCGACATACAGCATCAACTGCAGCTCCTCATCTTCTACTGAGTTCATCTTGAAAATCAAGGTATGTGGTTGTAGTTGAGTAGTCGTGCTTTTAAATGCACAGTTTGCATGTTACATTTTGGTCTGCTTACTGTGCACATTAAGTGTTTTTATTTGCCACCAGTGATTCATCTTTTAACAGTTATTGTATTGTATGCGCTTTGAATATGTAACTTCTGGAATAAAGATAGTTGTAAATCTTGGATACATTTCATATAGGAATAATAATGTAACAATGTTTAGTGTAATTCTGTTATTCAGTCTCTTTTCTGTCTTAACCAGAACAATGAAACACAGTTCAGTTCTGCTTTTGCAGCTCCTCCTGGGGACGAGCTCAGCTTACACCTATCGTAAGTACACATCTGTAATTTCTTTGCTACAAAACACTTGAATCAACTTTATTGTCACATACACAATCATACACGTATAGTACAATGTATAGCGTACAACGTGAAATTTGTCCTCTGCATTTAACCCATCCCAAGGAGCAGTGGGAAGCCAGTGCACATTGCCATTGACTTGGTCGAGGGCGAGTGAGTGGAGAAATTAGCCAGAAAGTGTAAAGGCGTCAGTGTCTTGCCATATCAGCTTAAATGTTATATATATGAGATTCAAAACATTAATAACACAACAAGCATCTACTTGCTGTGTAAAGATATAGTGGAGCATTGGCCATGCATAGGTTAGTACATGCTGTGCTCTAGTATGATATCTAGCAGTTTTTTCTGTTTTCTGTGTATCTGTTTCATTCATAGAAAATGTGGCCTTGCGTGGAAAAGCGACCCAGTCAGACCGCTATTCAAACATAATGGGGTCTGCCTACAATGCTATTGATGGAAACCGTGACTCTTACTACGATGTTGGATCGTGCACCCACACTGATGTTCAGACCAACCCTTGGTGGAGAGTGGACCTGCTTGAGCCCTACATCGTCACCTCCATCATCATCACCAACAGAGGAGACTGCTGTCCAGAGAGGATCAACGGGGCAGAGATTCACATCGGCAACTCTTTACAAGACAACGGTGCCTCAAATCCAGTGTAAGTGAATGTCATGACTTATTAAATATAAGGTTTCAGGCAGAAAATTGTTTAGGAGACGTAAGCCATCCAGATTGTGACGCAGCTCATTTTAGGAGTCGAACAAAACACATTGGCTGTGTGTGTTTCCGGCATGTTAATGTATTTCATTTACTGTATTAGTTTTTTATTTTAGAAAATGTGGTCACTATTTCAGATGAAGGAGCCCACCTTCAGGAAATCTTAAGATATCCAGCATTTAAGAGCTAGTCTAATTTTTTCCCCCTTTATTTCTTTTTTTACGGAGCATTGTGCTCATTTTCTGTATTGCTTCATCTTGCTCCCCCTTGCTCAATGGTCCCCTGTTCAATTGAAAGGGTCCATTGAAAGGTGGTAGGGAGCAAAGGTTGTTGTTCAGTTACATTCCCTCATCATGCACAAAGAATCCAACCTGTTCATTTTAAGTTTATGTGGCCACTGAGAATGATCAATTCTGACTGACACAGACAGTGTAACTGGTCACCTCTGATACAGATGATTTATGTGCACCTGATCAAACCAAGTTCCAAAATAAGTCATAGTTTTAAAACTCCAGCTGTGGTTTTGCCACGTTTTTGTATTATTTCTTACATTATATTGCTGTATATCTATGTATCTAGTATAGGTACGGCAATTATAAAACAAATGTATGCATGTATGTTTTCTCTTTTAGGGTTGGTGTAATTTCTCATATCCCAGCAGGCAGGTCTTTAAAAGTATCTTTTAATAGACTTGTGGAGGGACGTTATGTGAGTGTGGTTCTGCCTGGTTCAGGAAGGGTCCTTACACTCTGTGAAGTGGAGGTCTACGGGTACCGTGCCCCAACTGGTGAGAATTGGCTATTGAAGAAACACATTTTGTGATTTTCTAGGTGATGCCGTCACCTCATTTTCTATACAGCTGCAGTGAAACTCATTGAATGAAGAAAATGGGCAAAGCCTTATCAATTTAAGCTAAATTATCAATTTTCTAGGTCTGATTTATTTTGTTTTTCTCTCCTGTGTTTATGACTTAAAACAAACAGGACAAGTTTCAAAAATTGTTTCACAGATAAAAAAACAACTAAAAGTCCAGTGTGTAACATTTATAAAATATAATATATATTGGTACGTTTTTATTAGTGTCTGATCACCTGAAAATGAGAATGGTTAAGTATTTTTGTTTCGCCTACCAGCATGTTAAACTGTTTCCACAGTGCTCCAGAAGGGACAGACAACTCTAGATAGGCCCTACACAATCCGATCTTTAAGGAATTTTTTCTCACAAAACATAAACACAGAAGAGAAAATATTTCAGATAAGACTTGGAAAACAGACCACTTGAATTTTTTGTGGACACTGACATACAAAATAATTGACACATTTACAACAGCTAACTGCTGATGCAGCCAAGTTTTGCAGTGCAGATACAAAAAACAACAGGCATTCACGCAACTTTTTTCTTTCCTGACAGTTTCATCTTAACGCTGGAAATCAATGTGCAAATAGCTGTGAATTTGATATTATAGTCATGAATAGAATTGGATCACTTCATTCTGCAGAAAGCATCAAGGAAAACTAGGTATCAGTGCTAATGTTTGCAACTGTGTCCTTTGTGCAGGAGAGAACCTGGCGCTCCAAGGAAAAGCCACACAGTCGTCACTGCATCATTTTTTGGGCGATGCAAATCATGCCATTGATGGGAATCGTGCCAGCAATTGGAACCAGGCTTCCTGTAGTCACACAACTAGGGAATACAACCCCTGGTGGAGGCTGGATCTGGGCAAAACCCATAAAGTGTTTTCTGTCAGCATAACCAACTACAGCCATCTTCCTTCACTAATTAATGGAGCTGAGATCCGAATTGGAGATTCTCTTACAAACAATGGCAACGACAATCCCAGGTACAGTTATTGATTAAAACATTACTATAACTAAAAGGTTTTTGATTCATGTTTATCTGCCATTGGATTTGTTTGGAAAAACACACAAAACATTTAAGAATATTGGTTTGGCATAGTACCTTTAAAACTCAAGAACATGAGACATATTTCTTAGAGAATCCACACATTAAACAGATCATTCTATGAGTTAACACAGTAATTTTTTCCTCTGCTAGGTGTGCTGTCATCTCAAGCATCACTGGAGGTTTCACTGAAACTTACCAGTGTAACGGGATGGACGGTCGCTACGTTAATGTAGTCATTCCTGGAAGAACCGAGTACCTGGCCCTGTGTGAGGTGGAGGTTTATGGCTCCAGACTGGATTAGGTCTGAGGAGGTTCAACATTTATAACAAAGACATTATGTCTCTATATAAATGTTCTAGTGAGTAATGAGACAGTTAATTAGTTCAGGAGAATTAGTTCATAAATTCTTTACAGTGGTAGTGACAATTTTGTTGTGATTGTATACATGTATGATCTTGAATAAACTTAGTACTTCTGCATTTGTTTGGGTCTTATCTTATTTTGTAAAGCTGTTGCAGAGTTGTTTTTTGAATCTTTGTTGAAGATTTCCTTTTCTAATTGCTTTCTGGACATTGGACTGCTCATCGGAGCA